GCGCATTGGCTGGGGCAACTGCAGACGGGCCCGGCAGCATCCACGCACGCTAGCAAGGCGTCGCGGCAGGGACAGGAACAGCGGTAAGGGCTGCGGGAGCAAGTCACCGGGTGCTGCCACCCGCAAACCGATCCCAGCCCTGTGCCCACCCTGTGGCTGCGCAGCCCCTTCAGGACCTCTCCTGAACCGAACCACAGATGTTTCTGGTTTAGGCAATTCAGTGTTGGGGTTTTTTTTGTTTGCTTTCCCCCTGGCGTGAGCGGCAGATGTGGGAGCTGGCTGGATGCTGCGTGAATCCTCTGTAGCCTTCCATTTAACTTGGATTTTATAGCTTTCTCACAGAGCCTGTCCTGCGATAATCCTGCAGAAACAAACTCCTCCAAGGCTTCTGGGGAAATGAGGTGACATAACGCCCAACTCGCAGCGTTCTGGAGAATTACCCTGGGGTGCTCTCGCTGCCTTCGTTGGGCAGTGCCAGCCTGGCCTGCCTTCTCCTGTGCAAAGCACCAGAGGAGGAGAACCAATCCACTGTGGTTTTCCGCACATCTGCGTCTCCGTCTAGCTCGGAGCCGTGCCACGTCTGGGTTTTGGCAGCATCTTTGCCTTGTGATGTCCCTGGTGCCCAGATGCCCGCTCATTTTCTTGGTGCAGGTAGAAAGCTGCTGTTCCAGGGACCTCCACCTCTCCATTGGGTTTGGAGAAACCCGGCGCAGCTCGCCCAGGGGAGATCATGAGTAGGGTGTGATGCTGTAACCTGGCTTATGCAGGAGACCAGGCTGAAACGGGCCCTACGGCTCGTCCCCAGAGCTGGCTGGTGGGGCTTCTCCAAGCAAAGAGGTTTCGGAGAGCTTGGAGAGCCTGTCACAAATCTGACATAGCTCCGTATCTCTCCGGTGGGAGCACAGCCCCTGTGGGTTGCCATCCCTGCTTTTCCAAAAGCCCTCCCAGCAAAAAAAAAAAGGCAAAAACCAAAACCCAAACCAACCTGGTAAACTCAGGAAATTTGCATTGCTGGAGAAACAAATTCAGTGAAGGTCTCTAATGCTGCTTTGTTTTCACCACAGCGTTAGGAATAATATTAAGCTTTTGCATTAAATGTGAGGGAAGAGGACTTTGGAAAGCAGGAGGACTTTTCTCTTTGAAGCACTCTGGTTATTTTGGCAATCAGGATGAGTTAATTTAAAATTGTCGAATGGAATAATATGTAGGAGGGTGACATGTTGAGATGTTTCGCAATTCTAAGTATGTGTTTTGAGCAAATGTTTGTATGCCGAGGCTGGGGCTGGGGGGATTGGAAGGTAGATGGGATTATGTGCTATTTGCTCCGTGTAAGCAGTGGCAATTTATTGCTGCAGATACATGTGATGCGGCGCACAAAGATTAATTCGATCCTCTCTAAAGCATGATTATTTTGAGTCCTCTTTATACCTTAAATAGATATTCTTCTCATGTGATTTCCATCTTTTTGTGTCAACAGCCCAGGCTAAAGTTGAAATAAACATTGCATCAGCTTAATAACGCGGGCTGTGAAGAAATCTGCTCTCCATTACGGGGATTGTTTGGAACCCTTTTCATTTTACATTTTTCCAGTGTGGGGTGCAAAGACCTCATGAATCCTGAAGCCTGCTCTGTTTCACTGGACCTTTCTTGTGCAAATCAATGTAGTTGATCAACACTGATAAGTCCCACCTGGAGCAGAGCATCGGCGTGGTTCATCATGCTTAAATATCCCCCTTGTTAGTTCATGATGAGGCTCTGTGGCCTATTTCAGGGACATTCAGAAGGGAGAAGGTGTTAAAGTTGGTTGTGGCCGTGCAATTTCTGATGCTCAAGTAGCAGATTTCTCCTCCCAGTTGCAGTGGTGGAGAAGGATGCTGTAATCCCGCAAGCCATTGCAGGCTGTCTGGGGTTTTGGCGTGGCGTGGTACGGGGAAGATTGCCTGGTCATGTGTGTGTCCTCATGCGGTTGGACCCGATGGTCTTAAAGGCCTTTTACAACCTGGAGGATTCTATGATTCTCATCTGCTCTGCTCCCACTGCCAGTGGGGAACAGGGACATGGAGAAAGGGAGGAGCTCAGGACAGCCCTGTGCAGCGAGACCCTCTGCCATCTCCCCCTTCCCTAATCTTATTTCCATTTTTTAATCGTTGGCTCTTGCCAGGCTGCAGACCTGGTGCCAGGGCATTCAGCAGTTTGGAGTCGGTGTCATCCAAATGGTGTAAGATGCACGGGCAAGTGTCGATGGAGGTGTTTCTGTCAAAGCAAACCCTAGCAAAACGAGTGATTTGTTTGCTGTTAGTGACTTTGTAGGCTGGAGGCAGCAGGACAGGGTGGTGTGACTGGGGACGGTGGGTATCTGTGCTTGTGGCTTGGTTTGAATAGCTTAATGCAGACTTCAGTGTTGGAAAGCTCTTGACTGAGACTGTTTGTACCTCGGTTACAGCATCATCATGACAACAGAGAAGAGTCTAGCGGCAGACGCCGACAATTCCGAGCAACAGCAAGCCAAGGAGGAGGAAGGAGCTGCTGAAACACAAAAGCAAGAGGCTGCCCTAGAGGAAGGGGCTCAGCAGAGGTCAGAGGGACAGCCTGCAGCGGGGCAGAAGCCGAAGGCCTCCAACGGCGATACGCCCACGCACGAGGAGCAGAGCAAGAAGGAGCGACGCACCTCCGAGGGCCGGGGTCTCTCCCGCCTGCTCTCATCCTTTCTCAGGAGGCCCAAGTCTCAGGTGTCCGAAGAGGACAAAGACACTGATGCTCCAAAAGAGGTGGGAGGTGACCAGAAAGACCCGGGATTAGGAGCCAGCCCCGATGAAGACATCCTGGTGAAAGCCCCGATCGCAGCTCCTGAGCCTGAGCTCAAAACCGATCCGTCACTAGATCTCCATTCCTTAAGCAGTGCAGAAACACAGGTAAGACGTCCGGTTCCGTGTGGCGCGCTTCCTTCTGCTCTTGAAAACGTGTCTTTTCAGCCAAAACTAGGAAAACGTCATATCCTAGGGTGGTAAACTTGATCAGAAAAACTCGTGAGATGCTAAAAAGGTTTTTGTCAGCTCCCTGTGTTGTGTCGCTTGCTTCCCACTCTGGTATTTCTGTATCAGACTGTCCTGCAAAGTACCTGCTCCTGAAATTGTACCAACGCTTCACAGCATAGCTTCAAACACCCCGTGCTGACTCTTTACTCTGCTGAGGCATGGGAAGTCACATCAGAACTAGGGTTCGAATTCATAATTTATGACGGAGCAGTTGCTCATTGGGACATCCGTGGTGGGTGCAGAATAAAGGCAGGTCAGTGGCGTGAGGTGGAGACTGCAAGAGGAGGTGAATTTGGGAGAGGGGTTCTTCAGCTTCAAGGAGCGCGAGCATGGCGTTGCAGGACTTGGGGTGATTGTTCTGCGTATTTGGTGCTGAGCTGGCCAAATACAAATATTTTCTGCTTATGCATCATGTAGAGAGGGATTTCTGCACAGCACGTGGGCTGAGCCCAGCTGCTAGTAGCTGTCTGACATCTGCTCTTTACAGCCAGGGTCGTTTTTCCTGCAAAATTTGAAGTTTTTAAAGCACAGTGGAAACTGAGGCAGAGACACTCACAGGGAGGCATTCACAAAGCTGCAGCTGCCTGTTGGTTTGGGGGTACTGGATGCCCTCTCTTTCTCCTTGGCAGGTGTCTCAGGTAATTGCCGCTCTGCCATTGCAGCTTCCCCGAGTTAGAGAAAGGTGAGTGCTCCTTCTCCTGAAATGCAGATTTCTTAAAACCCAACCAACCTCCATGTATCGCAGGAGTCACAGCACCTTAGTGGCAAAATCTGGATTACTCACCCCGCTGCCGTAACGTTTTGAATGCGCTCTGGAGAGGTGTTACATGTCCGCAAACTCTAGGTTTCAGCTGACTGTTTGAGCAGTGCTCTTTACAAGTTAAAGCATTGCCAGCTGTAGGCAGTAGTTGTAAATCCACCTCCTCAAATTTACAAAGGTGTAGAGAAGGTAATAGGTAGTAGCTTTTTCTTTCTTATCCCAAATTTCTGTGCCTGTGAGAAACATGGGATGATCCCTGCTTGTGTTTTGTACCTCTGAGGGCTGGGATTAGCAGAACGGGGGGAGAGCTGGAAATTTTAATGCAATTTCAGCCCAGAAATCATGTCTTCGAGAGGAAATGGGTGATTTTTTTTTCTCTACTTAACTTTGATTTGCTGCATCTGAGTGCATGTGAGTGTGCACCCCCAGCCTTCCTTCCCCATGGGCTGTTTGTTTCAGACGAAGCATTTGTGCTTGCTTGGGTGTTTTGGTTTGGTTTTTTTTTTTAGTTCTTATTTTAGATCGACGTCAGTGGCTTTTTGAACTGTGACACTCGGCAGATATTTCTGCCGTGAAAGCATTTGTGAGGTGCTGCCTGTTTGATAAATGCTGACCGACGGGCATTACGAGCTTTGACTGATTCCCTGCTCCCGATTGTCCCGGCCCTGCTGGAACAGAAGTCAGCAGCTTGTGGACATTATTTAGTTTTTAAATGCCTCCATGCAGTTGTGCCTGGACGTGATTTCATGAGATGCGATGGGCTGAAAAGACAGGGTTTTGCTTTTCATCTGCCGCAGCTGGGTCCCCCGGCGGCACGGAGCCACTTCCAGCACTTGTCAGAGCCTGCCGTGAACTCATTTAACCTGCTGAAATGGCAGTGAAAAAAAAAACCCAGTTTCCTTCCTCCTCCTGTCCCCAAACTGCGTCTTTTTCTGCTGTTTTGGTGAATTAAGCTGGCTGGCAAAGTGCTTCGATAGCAAGGGGAGGGTGGTATGAAGGCTGCCTTCCCTGTCTAGGGGAGAAAGTTACCAGTCCAAAAGGGGCAGCTGTTAAGACCAGAAATATTTGCATGATGTAATCTGTCCTGATTTCTCTATCAAACCCTTTTTCCTTTTTTATTATGTCCTTTATTAAGTGAAGACTTCAGAATGACTTGAAAGGCTGTAAAAATTAGCCTCGTTACCTTCCTCACCCAAGCTGCTGCTCCGGGTCCCGGGTGGCACATTTAAGCCAAATGCTGAATTCTGGGGTGAGGTCCCAGCCCTGCAGTGCACCTCTGCGTGCTTGTTTCCTGTGATGGTTTTTTTGCTTGACACGTCTAAATTGCAACGTGGGTGATGTGGGGGTTTCAGCCTGCGCAGGAGGAGAGGAGGGACGACCCGGAGCCGGACAGCAGAGAGCTCGGCGGCAAGGAAGGAGGGGAAGCGAAGGAAGAGTGCTCCAAGCCAGAGCCGAAACAAGAGACTCCGGAGACCAAAGCAGACAAGGATTTGAAAGCTGCCCAGAAGGCAGTAAAACGACACAGAAACATGTACTGCAAAGTTGTCTTGCTGGATGACACCATTTTTGAGTGTGCTGTGGATGTAAGTACTTCTGGGGTTTGTTTGTGCTTCTCCTCTTTTCCCTCTCCCTTCTCCTCCCCTTGAAAAATCACCACAAGCACGATTTCACAGGGGCCTAATTTGCTGTCAGTGAATTACATGACAGGCTGTACTGCAGAACAATCTTGCTGTAAGCTAGAACAACTTATTTAGTGTCTTGTAAAAATCTCTGGGTGCCTAGGAATCTTATTTTTAATATCGTTCTACAATTTCCAAGGTGCCTTGGGTTTAAGAAAAAAAGAGGTTATCTTACTTGCTGTTCATCATCTCTCTCATTTGTATCCCAGGCTATAGTTTAGGTTTTTGTGTTAGGTTGGGATTGTCTAAATATCTTCTGCCCCTTTCCTTAGAATAAAACAGGTTGTCAAGTTGATTTGTGCTTTTCTGTTCACCCAAGGTACATTTGCCTGTCAGGTTGCTGCCTAACATAACTCCTGGAGCTTGGACGTAAAGAAAAACATGTTGTGTTTAGCCTGCAGTTGAATATATTTGCAGTAAACAATTTAAAATGATTATGTTGACTTACAGCACTGCAAACCCCTTCATCTGAGAGCTTTTCTTTTGCTTTATTTTGTGCATTCTCTCACGGGGCCGTCTTGCTGTCAGGGCAATAAAAAGCTCGCGGAAATCCCCATTTCAGTATTGAAGCACTTGTCCAGAATATTAATAATCCAGTACTTAACCACTGGAGCATAGTTCCATCAGCTTGTTTTTCCCCAGTCCTGCTGGCTAAATGGGCCAGGGGAGGGTGCCTGGGCACAGGGCTCCTTGTGAACGCGTTCCCTTGGGTGATCCTGGGCAAGTGGGTCAGCGCCGGCATCGCTGCTGCTACTGCCGGGATCAGCTCGGAGCATCACCGCCCCCATCGCCTTCCCCTTTGCCAGGGGTTTTGTGTGCAGCCCCCAAAAGGGAACTGTTCCCCGAAACGCTGGTGACGGCTTGCCGTGGCTTCGTGCGGGGGCTGGCTGCAGCGATGCCTTCAGATGCCGGCAGGCTGCACGGACGCTGGCAGTGGGGTGCTCGGTCCTGACTCGAGCGGGACCTCAGGAGTCTCTTTCTGTAGGTCCAGAGGGTCGCGGTGGGTGCTGTGGAGAGGGTTAGGAGGGCCCGCTGTGTCGGTGAGGCCCTCTTGACTTGACAGGTTCCCTTGGCTTTAATGCCAATGTAATCCTACTCTAGCATTTTGAGAATTTATTAAGACTTAATTGGGAAGGAATTGCAAAGGTGTAGGCAAAGACCAGCACAAATGCTTTTATCCAAGAAGAAGAAGTGCTTTCAGGCGTCCTTTCCAGTTGACAGCCATGGAAGGTTTTTGATTCCTGTATTTACCAGTTCCTGCAGAAATATCCAGGCTAACACATGCACTGGATTAGCTACAGAGTCCCAGCGCCTGTGCTAAGGACCGTGCAGCTGAAGGACTGGTGTAGAACAGGCTATAGTCTTGGATCAGTTGCCATGCAAATATGACTAAAAGGAGGATGCGGGCACAAGCGATGCGTTAATAAAGCTGATTTTGCGTCACTGGAACTGTAGTTTGTTTTGAGCGGAGCCTCCAATAGAGTTAGCTGCTGCTGGTTACCAGAGTTCTGTGCCTCAGGGATGTTTTTCTTCATGCTTTTGGACTAAAAGGGTGTCTGTTCCTAGGGCCAGTTCGCTTCTGCAGGATTTGGGGAAAAAAAAAGAAAAAAGAGGAGATAGGAATGCCCAAAGTGTATTTCTTGAGGCAAGAAGTTGTGTGTTAAGCAGCTTTTGGTGCATAAGGCAAAGCTGGAGAAGCTGGGTTCCGTCAGCAGGTTGGGTTGATGAAAAGGCCGTGGAGATGATGGTCCCTGGTTCTGAGCCACGGTTTCTCTTGTGACCCTGCTAAGCCAGGTTGCTCCCAAAACGGGGGGCTGTAGCAGTGGGTTATAGCAGCATTTTTGTACCCTGCATTGGTCATCTTTTGCTCAACACCTGACTGACAGCCTGGAGCTGGGAGGTATCCGTGCGGTGTTCTTAGGGAGGGAAAAACCATACGAATCCTCGGTGTTCATGGAGTCGTGTTGAGAAGCTCAGCTTGGAGGGGCTTCAGACACGAAGCTGGTGGTAGCAGCGAGACCGGCTGCAGTTCCCATCGCCTCTCTGGTTTGAATTTTATGCCTGATGCTCTTTCCTGTAAGGGGTGCTTGCTCAGAAACGGCCAGGAGATCTGATTTGGAGCTACTCGGGACTATTTTCCCTGCCTGGCAGCGCACAGTGTGGTTTGATTACGTTCCCTTTCTCCCCTCTCCTGTGAACGGGGGCAGGCAAAAACGAGCCCGTCCCTCCGCATTTCTTTTGTTTATCTGCAGAAACACGCCAAGGGGCAGGATCTACTTAAAAAAGTCTGCGACCACCTCAATCTCCTGGAAGAAGACTACTTTGGTTTGGCCATATGGGACACGCCGACCTCCCGGGTAAGCAGCTGCTGGTGCGTGATGTTCTGCACCCAGGTGGCTTCCGCTCTTTCAAAGGATCAGCTCTGCTTAGAGCTCCTTTTGGTGTCCTCCCCAAAAAAGGACCAAGAGGGTCATCACAGAGGCAGAAATTGTGAATAAATGACTACAGGAATGTGGATTTTAGTAAAAAAGCTGTGTGAACTTGCATTTTCACCTAGAGAAAACTCATTATATTAGTTTACTGCAAAATGATACCATTGATTTTTAAAGCTGTAGCTCGAGGAGTTAGGGGAAGGTAAGGCTTCTCTCACTGTTGTTTTTATTTGTGATTTTAAGAATAGGTTAATTACTGTTAGGCTGTAGAAGGTGAGCCTGAATGTCGACACACTTCAGGGGAACTTCACAGTCCTGGAGCCTGTGTCCACCAAAAGCGTGAGGCTGAGCAGTCACCAGGAGTGAAAGCTGGCTGCCTTGGCACTGGTGTCATTTTGTGTGAGGTTTCGTCAGAGCCGTCCAGAGCAGTTTTGAGTTGAGTCGAAAAAACATGCGTGACTCTTCATACCAAAACTCTTACTCACATGGTTTCAGTTGAAGGTCTTTGTTTGGTTAGACTCAAGCAGCGTCTTATCTTTTAAACCCTTGGTTACGCTTTAACTCAAGCAATTACTCAAGCCCTGTTTCGTGAAGCTAGCCGAAAGTGTGCCCAGTTGAAAGGAAGGGCCCGCTTTTCCCTCCTTCAGACCAGTTACGCGGGTCCGCGTTCTGACTGTTCCCAAGCTTCACCTGCGGCAGTCGCTTGTGGGCCAGGTTGCTATGGCTGACAGGCATTTGTCGTTAAATACTGAATAGATGCAAGGGTGAGTTTTTAATACAAGGGCAAAAGAAAGCCCAGTGCTATTTGAGGCAGGCAGAGCTCTGTCATGGGTTTGTTTTACTGTCTCTGGTTTCTTGCTGTTTTCTTGTACGTGAGATTTGCTTCCACGTATGTACCCTGGGTTTTTTACTCTAGGGGTTTGCTGTGCTGGCAGAGGGAGGGATAGGTGTACTTTTAGATCCAATTAAGAGCAGAAAGGCTTTAGCTGGAGCAGCTCAGCTTCTCCCATGGGTGCTGTGGGCAGCTCGCCGCTGCATCTCCCAGACCCCCAGGACATGCCCTTCTCATGCCCAGGCGTGCTGGCATCTGTTCTTCCGAAAGCAAAAGCATGCACCTCCTTCCCCCGCAGCCGACAAGGGCTAAGGGGCTGTGCAGCTTTTTAACCACAGGGATGAAAACAGGAGATTTTGTCCAATTTCTGTCCCAGAGCTGGGAGCTGAGCGAGGTAAAGCTGCTGTGCATGAGTTTAGCTCCAATGCAGAGTGAGCTCGGTGGAAGTCTGGTTTGCTCTGACAGGGGAAAACACCATTTTTGGGGTTTATGGGGAATATTTCTGGTTATTTTTATTGAACTTTGGAATCTGAGGCTCCATCTCTCTCTCTTGCTGTAACTTCATACAAGACCAGACACCGAGTTACTGATTCACAGGTGGAAAGGACCTTAATAGGAAACCAACGGATGGGCTTCTCACCTCACCCGCAGCTGTGCAGAGCAGGCGGAGATACACATCTGTGCTCCTGGACAGGGAAGGGCTGTATGCAGGATTTTCCAGCTTGATATTTAGGGAGTAAAGGTTTCTGGGGATGAGCATTTTCCTGTATAGGAACAGGAGGTGGTGACAGTGGGAATGGGAGGTTGTGACAGCGGCCAGAGCGTCTGGTCAGCACCGAAGGAGCTCGATGGTCACGCTGCTCTGAAAGGGAGGATTGTTTCCCCCTGATCCATGACACAGTGTGGACGAAATGCCGCTAATTGCTGTACCCAGCACTGTCTGCTGGATCAGGCAGGCTGAGTGCCGAGGATGCATGACTGCACCCCGGGCTCGGCCGTTTCCACGGCGGTGGCGAGCGGTCGTCGCACCAGTGTGGACGCAGAGAGGCTCTGCTTGAAACGGTGGCCCTGAAAAGACAGCAAGTGGCATGTCTAAAGTTCAGATGGATTTCATATCCCCAGTTTTATAGGTTAGAGGGGCAAGCATATAAAAAGAGAAGATTAAATGCAAATATTGCTGTCTCCCTGCCATGAAATTACGTGTCCTTCTGGTGAAGACAGATTAGCTCAGGGGATTCAGTGGGTTAATTCCTTCACCTCGGGAGACCTGGACATCCAAATCCTCCTCAGGGCTCATGAAAATGAAGAAGGTGGTTTAACGTAGCCTCTCCAGGAGGGCTGCGAGCACCGCGCTGTCCCCTTCGGCGAGGCAGACCCTGAGCTCTGCAGAGGGAGAGGCTCAGGCTTGACGTGCCGGGAGTTGCTCACACTGTGCTGGCAAAAGCAGGAGTTGTTTTTTGTTTTTTTGAGGCTTGTTTTGCACCACCATCCCACAAAACCCCCAAATTACAGAGCAGGGGGAGGGAGGGAAGGATATATTTCTAAATTTGTAGCTGAGATAATTACTAGAAACTTGAGTCATACTGAAAAGAGACGAAGTGTATGTCACGCTCCTGTAAAAAATTCCAGCCTTCCCCAGCGATGAGGGACTTCAGCGATTAGGTTGTGAAAAACCGTAGCTAATAATAGAAGGTCTTGGCGATCTTTGTTCTGAATAGGGTAAGTGTGGAGACAGGGTGCCCAAGATGAGCGCAGACGTCCTATTTGCCTCGTTTTAAAGGTTCTGGAGGAAAAAAGTGTTGCACAGCTGCTGCGTGCTTGCAGCCCTCGTAGGCTGCGCTTTGCTTTTCCTCCGGTGCCTCGTGCCTCCCCTGCGCGTACCTGGGAGGTGAAGGGTTGGAAATGCAACCACTGAGACCGCAGACTGCAGTGAGAGTTGTGAAAAACGCACCGTTTCTCCCGTTTCCATGGCTGCGTTCCCGTCAAACGTTGTCTTTTTGCCGTATTTTTAGCGAATTGCAGTTTTCTGTGGTGTTTCTGGAACGTCTGTCAAACTGTGAATGTTTTTGTCCTCTTACAGACATGGCTGGATCCTGCCAAAGAAATAAAAAAACAGGTTCATGGTAAGTAGATTGAATTTGACGTGTGGGTGGGTGTGGTTTCTCCCCCCTTCCCTAAATAAGCATGGCTTTGGCGGGCGACGCGGGGGCCCCAGGGATGGGGGGGAGTTCAAGTGAGGGTGTCTGGCAGGGAGCAGCACAAGTTCAAGTAGTCTGCGCATCCTTTCACTTCTTCCTAAGTACTTACTGATGCTCTAGATTAGGAAAAAATGTCATTTCTTTGGGAAAACATAGCTTGGGGGGTGTTCGCCCTCTGCAAACCCATGCGGTGCTTGCTGCTACGCAGTGCCGAAATGGGAGATCTGTTCCCTGTTGGGGGACGGGAAAATAGGTGTCGGTGGGAAGCATTTAAACCCCAAAGGAGACTGGGAGAGCCTGAGCGGAATTGCATACTCTGGCAAGTTTTTATGGACGCTGAGGCTGTTTCGAGGCCCAGGTAGGGGGACTGGAGTGATAAATGGCTCGAGTAGTATCAGGGCAAATGCCAGATGCTCTCCGGAGGTGTATTTTAAGGTCTGCTAGCACTGAATTAGTTCAAGATGAGGGCAGTGTCAAAGTTCAGTAGTTTTAGAGGCTTTTCTTTTCTCTCAGAAACAACTGTGCTTCGAAAGTAAAATACTGTTTCATGAAAGTAAATTACTGTTTTACGTATGCTTTTGTTGGGGGGTGCAGTGTGTCATTAAGTACAGATTAGGGGGGAAATGCCCCAGGGCTAAGAGTAGGAAAAGCTCCTGCTCTCACCAACTCCCTTTTGAATCGATAGCAGGATGTGTGTAAGGGCAGGAGCTGCTCGTGCTGTGCCGTGCCATGCAGGTAAAGTTCAGCTCGTAAGCGTAATGAGCAACCTGCATAGGAGCCTGGTCCCCTGAGATGGGTTAAATGGAAAATTATTGGAGTTTACTTCAATATATGTTGAATATGAAGATGTGTACGCCAGTGTATGGTGGTTTCGGTAACCTCTGCTACCTAAAATGCCTTCTTGGAGTAGCTTGTTTTGAACTGCGTAGAATGGAAACAACATGCCATGTGTTTTACCCCAGTGACGGGGTTGCATAAGAAGTAAATCCATGAACGCTGTGTCCCCCCTCCTCCCTTTTTGAGATCGCAATAAATCTCTGCGCAAGTTAACCGCAGGGGTATCTTTCTTCTCTTTCTGAAGTAAATATTATTTTGAACTATAGAGTTTAAGGGCACAGCTGGAGGGGGTTGTAGCTATGAAAATTACTTTGAGCACTGAGTGGCTTGGTCAGGGCTGTTTTCTGCGGGTAAAGGTGGTTATTTTCAAGGCAAAGAGGGAGTAACCCCTTGAGCCGTGTCACCCGGCCAGCCTGTCCGTACCACGAATTCTGCCAGTTCTGGGTGTGATTGTGTGGATTCTCGCTCCAGTTCCTGCCCGGAACGGCGCTGGACGAGGTTTGCAGCCAGCTGTGTTACAGCAGTTAGGGCTGGACTTGTAAAGCTCTTCCTGTCTCAATGCTGGCTGGTCCCTTCCAGAGGTTGATGCTTGTGTTGTGCTGAGTTTAAACTGCAGTCTGACCACCCGCCCACAGTGCGTTGGGCTGCTGAGTGAATTAGCACATCTGCTCCTTACGAGAAATTAGAAAATTGGGTCAAGCGATAGAACAATACTAATTCATTAACTCATAGCACATGCCTGACCTCTCGTCATGAATCCTTTTCAATCAATGAAAAAATATGTGAGGAATTTAGCCTCTTAACAATGAATTTTTTTTTCCACAAGTTGTGGTTTATTCACATGCATTTGCCTGCCCTGCCTGGGTTTTCCTGCTTGTATTTTAGCACCTGTAAATGAAGTTGTAGCTTAGACCGTCTGCTTAAGCAGCAGCTAGCTGTGCGAGCGAGCAGTCTGAAAATCAGAATTCTGATCCGCTGGCTGTATGCTGAAGATCAGACTGGATATCCCCAGCTGCTTGTAACGATTGACTACTGTGAAGCTGTTTATTTTTCTCAGCCTCTTCTCTGTCATTGCAGGAGGCCCCTGGGATTTTACCTTCAATGTCAAGTTCTATCCACCGGATCCCGCGCAGCTGACGGAGGACATAACCAGGTGAGGTACCCGGGCATCCAGGGAGCTCGCTGAGCCAAGGAAACCGCTGGGACTGGAAGATTGAAAAGAAATTTGTAATATTTGGATGTTATTCCATCCTTCAGCGAGAAGATCAGATGTCTTGGAGGGTTTTTTGTTGATTTGTTTTTAGTGGATGTGTGGGATGCTCCCACTCTCCACTGAAGTCCGCGTGCATAAAGCAGTGTTGTTCATAGTCCTGGCATGTGTGTGTTTGTGTAGAAAAGTAAAATTTTAGTTAAAAGCAAGATTTTCTGAGCATAACTGTCCTCTACTCCCTTTCCAGAGTAGAGGTGACCTTAAGTCCTCCTGCCCTCCATGCTATTTACTGTGAGAACGTTACCCCATAAGTGAAAATAGAGGTAGAAGTTAGAAACAAGCTTCATGTTGCATTCATCAGTGGCATAAAAAAGAGATTCTGTTTGATCCTTCAATTTCTTAAGTTTCTTTATGCTCTCTGTAAATAGCATTTTGCTTTCCCCCCGCCCCAGGTATTACTTGTGTCTTCAGCTTAGACAAGACATCATTACGGGGCGGCTGCCCTGTTCCTTCGCAACTTTGGCTCTGCTGGGCTCGTACACGGTCCAATCCGAGCTGGGAGACTACGATCCCGATCTCCACGGCCCAGATTATATCAGTGAATTTAAACTGGCCCCAAACCAGACAAAAGAGCTGGAGGAGAAGGTTGTGGAGCTTCACAAAACGTACAGGTAAGGTGCAGCGGCTGGGGGACTGGTTTGTGCCTAGCAGCCTGAAACAATGGGAATAATGGGGTTTTCTGGTATTTTCCTCACTGCTGTCGCGTGCTTTTGGTTTCCTGCTGCACTGATTTTTATGTTGGCAACAGAAGCTTTAACAGTAAGGTGTGAATTTTCAGCTTCTAAGAACATCAGCTATTTAAAAAAGATCTAATAATTTATCACCAAATCTTTCTAGAAGCTGGAATTCATGTTTCCTACGTGAAGAAACAACGATGCTTTTAGCAAGCAGATGCAAAGTCTTGCAGTTGGTTACTAACAAGTGCTCTTTTTCAACAGTATAAACATGAAAGTATGCAGAGTTTGCTTGTTTTAACCTTGCCCTTTGTCTTTTTTATTAATATTTGCTTTGGGATTTATGTAAATTTTTAAATTTCGATCTGGTTGGAGCAGGTCCTGTATCTTTGTGTATGTGCTGTAGCCTACAGCGTGTTTGGGGCTTTCTGCTGCTGTTTAATGAGTAACACTTTATAACGTGGAAGTATTCCGGGTAGTGCCGGAGGTACAGACCTGCGGTTAGGCTGTCCTCCTCGTGTTGCCCAGCACGGCCGTGACCTGGGCGGCTGCCTGTTACTCAGACAGGGTTAAAGGACTCCGGGGAGTCCCCCTGGTACCAGATTAAAGGGTCACAGCAACTGAACCTCTTCCTCATCTTACTTTGAGCTTATTTTCATTGATGCTCTCAAGTGCGTGGATTGCAGAAGGTGTGTGAGAGCGGCCAGCCGGCAGCTTCAGCACCCTCCCAGAGATACATTTGGGTTTTAAGGGAAAAAAAAAAAAGCACGCATAAAACCACTCCGTGATACTGAGGCCTTCAGCCAGCAGCCCCTTGACCTGTGAAGAGCGACTGGCTGAGTCTCGAATAATGAGAACAGAGCAGAGACGGGACCTTCTCGCAGGCAGATGGGAGCTAATAACCTGGGTGCAGTAGGGAAGGGTGGACATGTGCCCCTGGCTGAGGTTAAGGCTACAATTAACACCTCGCTCAACCCCGCAAATCAATACCTTAAATTGATTCCCCTCCATTTGCACTGAGAGGAGAGGAAATGAGGGAAAATAAGTACGAGGCCGCTGACAAGCTTCATGACTTGAAGTCAAAGGCCAGTAGCTGTGCTAGAAGTGGCAGATCACGTTGCTGAATTATTCATGGCTTCATTAAAAGGATACTTCAAGGTATGGGATGTTGTTATATTTAATCTGCTCGTGCCTGCAGGAGGAAGCAACGTGTACCCGTTTCATTTCTGGTCTGTATTCTGTGAACATTAAACTGTCAGAGAGTTCTCGGTCAGAAAAATGTTAAGCCATGCTCCATCTCTTGCTACTTGATTTGGAAAGCACAAGGCACGCGTTGGAGATGGCGACTGCTCCTGGCCTTGTGCTGGAAGAGTGGCTTTGGCTGCCCTAAAACCTCTGTTTACATCGCACACAAGATGTATGTGAGCGCCCAGTAAGGAAGACATCAGAGCAGGGAACAAAATGAGATGTATACAGCCGAATGCTCTCCCAGCAGAGCTGTTAGATGTACCTGGTACACCAGAAACTTACTAACGAGGGCACTTCAATAGCGTTGCTAATAGCCTCCATTCATTATCGGGATGTTTCTGTTCAGCAGAGTTGTGCCTGTTGCTCCTCCTGCAGACAGGGTACCATCTGTTCCCAGAAAACGTCGCATTCATCTGGGCTGCCCCAGTAGGAATCGCTGCTGCGTGGTCTGCGTGGTCTCAGCTGTCCTGGCGTTTGCTTTGGAGAACAATAGCTGGATCTGGGGGGGGCTGGAGGCAGGAGGTCTGGGAGGGCAGTTCCTGGCACCCTCTGCCTTCAGCAGAAGGGGTGTTTGTTCCTCTGAGTCAGGTTTTGTACCCCGTGCCGCACTGCCTCGCTCTCCTCTCTGGTGTCTGCACAGCTCCACGGAAATAAGGTGCATTTGTTCTACGAGGATGTCTCAAAGCACAGATTTGTTTTATTCAGAGGTATTTAGTAATTCTTCTTCTGGGCACCAATTTGTGTTGAAAGCAAAAGAAAATCTAACAAGTAAATGGTTGTGTGAACTCTGATCAGTCCCCTCCTGAAAGCAACAGTTACAGGAATCTCAAGCCCTTTCTTTCCCCAGATCCATGACTCCAGCCCAAGCAGACCTGGAATTTCTTGAGAATGCAAAAAAGCTGTCCATGTATGGAGTTGACCTTCACCAAGCCAAGGTGAGAATCAGCGTGTGTGCACCTGCCTGTGGATTTTGTGATTTGATTCTCTTCCCTTGCAGGAGCAGGTTTACCTATTTCAGGAGGCCCCTTTTGAAAGCTGTAGGCAGTAAGCTGGCTGCTGGGACAGACAGACAGACACACAGCAGAAATGCCGCAAGCGCTGTTGCAAGCGTTGTAAGAGGAGTGATTCTTCCCGATTGCTTATTATTTATATATGACAGGAAGCTTTACAAAGCTACTGATGCAGACAGGCCCTTGCTCTGAGGAACTTAGAATAAGGCTCTGACCCTGCAAGGTGAGCTGCGCTGCTCAGAGGAATGCAGCATAGATTCTAGACCAGCCCTTTGAGCAAACAGCATCGCAGGAGAGATCTGCAGAAGGGAGGAGGTTGGAAGGACAGACGTGAAGGCAAAGCAAGCCTGGCCCTGGCTGCATAGGGAACTGGAAGCTGAGGTCTGGGTGGTGGGGAGAAGAATTCAGGAGAGCCTCGGGGGAACACCAGAGGAGGAATTTGGAGGACGGACATTGACCTGAAATCTGTAACTCTGACACTGCTTAAATCCTCATCTGCTTTCCCAGGACTTGGAAGGGGTGGATATCACTCTGGGAGTCTGTTCCAGTGGCCTCCTTGTTTACAAAGATAAACTGCGAATCAACCGCTTCCCTTGGCCCAAAGTCCTGAAGATTTCCTACAAACGCAGCAGCTTCTTTATTAAGATTCGACCAGGGGAAGTACGTCCGGACTTCTGTGTGCTTGTGTCTTCTTTAATTGCCTCCTAATTATCACCAGTGTGTATGCTTCGTTAAAACAGAGTGGGGTAGGGAGCGAGCTTTTCTCTGAATGGGCGTTTTACACTCTCTTGGTGTTGAGTTCAGGTGGAGCCCGCTGACCTTGCTGAAGCTGTGAAACGGGGGGGGGGGGGCGGGGGCGGGCGCGGGGTCACCTCCTGGCACCGCCTGGTATTCCCGGCGTCCGGAGGAAAGCAGTGGGAAGTTCACAGCTGAGATTGGGAGAGGACTAACGCCTTTCTTTGGACACTGAGCAAGACAAAGGCTCTTTGTCTCACTTAAAAAAAATATTAAAAAAAAAAAAAATGCAGAGGCATACCTTTTCACTCAGACTGCCGCAGAGGGGTGGCTGCCCTGAGGCTGCCTCTCATGACCGGGGAGATCCCTGGAGCAGCCTGGCCACTGGAAACACAGCGGGGAGGGAGGCTGTAATGGGTCTCTGCCTCTTTCCTCCTCGCCTTCTTCCTTCTCCTTTGACCGCCATGACCCAGCCTTGCCGGGAAGTTGATTTTTGTCCCCATCCCATAGCTGGGCAGCGTGATGGGGGAGTAAAGCAGTCTGAGTGGCTGCAAAACCCACAGCACGCTCCTCTGCATTATCCCGGTGCATCCCGAGAGATGCATGGGGGTTGTGGACAGAGCCTTGTGTTTTCTCGGACCCGAGCTCACATCATGGAGGCAGTTCAGCTGCTCTTGGGCTAGACGAGCAGTTTACACCGCAGCAGAACAGGTTGATGGGCTGGGGACTGGAGTCCTGCCACATTTGTTTCTTGCTATACCTAAATAACTTCTGTTTTCCACAGCAAGAACAGTATGAAAGCACAATTGGGTTCAAGCTACCAAGTTACCGGGCAGCGAAGAAGCTGTGGAAAGTATGTGTTGAACATCACACGTTTTTCAGGTGGGTTTTCTAAGCGGTCGGATCACCTTGAATAAGGAATGCTTTAGATTAGCTGCTGTAAATGAGCACTCCTGCAGCATTCCTCAGGGTTTCACAAAACTTGCAGTGAAATGGTTGCAGAGACATTAAGAGTTTAAATAGTAATAAATTTCTAGGCTTCGGCTTCATATGATACAGAAGTCAGAGGTCTTCTAGCTTATGTAGATGTGGGGCTTATTCTTAATGCATGTTTTGTGAATCAAGCGTACACAGAGATTTGTTTAATTTGTATTTTAATTGCTCTTTACCTGCTGCTTCCTAGATCTGGAGGTATGATTTTTAAATCGTGCATGTGGTTTTCAGGCTGACTTCCACCGAGGCCATCCCGAAGAGCAGGTTCCTGGCACTGGGCTCCAAGTTCCGCTACAGCGGCCGGACGCAGGCGCAGACGCGACGGAGGTGAGTGTCTGCTGCCTCTTCCCTCTCTGTGGCTGGATTCTGCAGGATGCTGCTTAAATACTCCTTAAATACTCCCTAAATTCCGTGCTTTAAAAAAAACAAAACCATAACTTCTCACTTTAATATAAGACCTGGATATAAAGCGCGAACTGATAGTAGTACTAGCAAGAACTGACTGACAAAAAGGATGTAGGTGGGTGCCGAAGGCTTATGGCAAAGTTCTGGTTGTAAAGATACCTCCTCAATCAATCTCAACACATTTCCCATTGAGCAAATCAGGAATTAAGCTATTCTAGGGGTTTTGTTTAATGTAGCTTCTTACATAGTTTTCCTTGAGGGGGAGGTTTTTTGCCACAACTGTTTGAAACCTTTTCAGCGTCTGTTAAAGCGATGCTGGTGTTGCTGTTTGTGGCGTGTCGATCAGGTGGGCTCGTCCCTGACGTTTTTTAAAGAGCCGGATAGCAGCAAGCTGGAGGAGGTGAGGCATAGAAGGGGGGGTGCCTAGGTTTGCTCCCCTTGAGCTAGTTCATGGGGTGCTTGTCAAATTAGGACCCAGGGAAAGGGGAGAATCCCTTTGCACCAAAGGCACCTGACTGGGTGGGAACAGCCCCGAGGTTGTGCTGCCAGCCGGGAGGGAGCAGGGCTGCCCCAGTGCCCCGTGGCCAGCAGCAGCCAGGCTTCCCTTGCTCCTGGCCTGGGTTTACGGGGCTCAGCGACACCCCAAGCCTGGGCTTCGTGCCTCAGAGCTGGGAGGGGAAGGGCTGCTGGGTTTGAGCTCCGTAGCGCAGCAAAGCAGAACACCTGCTTGCCTGCAGCCCAGGCACAATGCACGCAGGCGAGGGGACCAGCACTGCTGGTTGCCCCTTGGCCATGCCCTGTAGACCGGTACCACCCCAGATGAGTAGAGAAATCCCTGCTGCAATCCCGCACCCAAACGTCAGAGCTTGGAAAAGAGCAGCCTGTGAATGTAACGCTTCTGTCCCCGTTGAAGTCTGCAGCCTCTTTCCATCTGCTGTGTGGGCAGTCGTTAACATGTGCCCCGTTTCTTCAGCTAAACGTGCGACTCAAAAAGTTGAGTTCAGAGCCGTAGAGGAAGAGAAGCAGGAGGAGGTGGTGGTGGTTGAGGTTCCCGAACCAAAACCCGCGGATCAGATCCGAGAGAAGCCAGGTATAGCTGTGGTGGTGGCTACAACTCTCTGCAGCGCCTTTCCTGTCCTTTACATGCTTCTTCCTGACCACTCAAAAGTTTCACCAAATCTGGCGGCTTTCTCTTTCATTTCTTTGCAAGAAGAGTTTTGCAGTTGGAGGACAGACACTCAGGCAGAGCCCTGGCTCTGGGAGACTCGTTAAATTTCCGCCTTGCACCTCGTTAGACTGTAATTCTTGCGGGGAGGTGGGGAAAAGTTTAGGATGTGCTGGCACTGGAGAGTTGTCTCCCTATTAAATTTGGGTGTTTTTGTACATGTGGATTAGAAAACTTTAAAGTTTGATCTTGAAACTTCTTGTAAAGCTTCTGTAATTCTTCATCCCAGGACCTGCTTGCCATTTTTTAAGCCTGTTCTGGATTTTTTTCGGAGTTTGAGAAATGCCGCCCATTTTGCTACATGGAGCTTCTATTTCTCTAGATAGGTACTATTTATTAATAAATATTAGTGCCCTTAAGAGGTGTGTAGGTACAACAGCGTGTTTGAATACTAATAAGCATATCACAGCAGCTTTGTCAAATATCTGCAGTCCTCGTCACTGAAATAGCGAATGCCGGTGGTGCATTAGGGCCGGGGATAGTGTGTGCACCCGCGCTGTGTGCTGCCCCACTGCCCTCCTTCCACCCCGAATTTTTTACAGCGTGCGTTTGACATCGCTGTTTTGCTGCTATGAATCCTAGACCAAGCTTTCACGCAGCAGTGCGGCAGGCTGTCTCCCCGCCACCGCCTTGCTAGTCGGCATCGCCTGGCAGGGAAAACCCGGCGCTGGGAACGCAGAAGGTGGAGAATGTGAGACGCCGGGGTCGATGGCGGTGTCTTCTTAATTTGTAGATTTGACGTTGATCACTCAGGTACATTTAATTACAACTGCTAGTTTTTAGATAGGTTTTTATCTAGAGGAGCCTGGGTGTGCTTTTCCTGGATTTTACCAGCCAACACCTGCATCTTCCCAGACTTTGCAGGCAGAGTCCGTCCTCGTGCTGTAGTCGAGAGCCATCTGCGTGTCTCCACGTATCCCTGCCTGGGCGAGAAGCCTGCAGCAGCTTATTTGTGGGGTTTTTTTCCCCTTTCATCCAATACTCTGTTGGGCCTTGCAGCACCAGAAGGACTGATATGCAGTTGTATGGTGAAAAATTATTATTAAGCTGCCTGGTTTAAAAACCTCCGTGCTGTTCCAGCCGCTGCCTTGGAGAGGGGTCTTCTCTTGCTCTTTCCTCTGCTGCAGTGACTGTCGTGCATCCGCGCAGTTCTCCAGCCGCTGTATTAACACGTGCAAACCTCTTTCTAGCCAAACATGCTCTTGAAACTTTTGAAATGAAACCCATTGCAGAGGAGGAAGAGGAGGAGGAGAAGGTAGAGGTGGTTAAGGTTCCTGTTGCCGAACCAAAGTTACCGGAGCCGGTTCCGGGAGCCGTTGCAGACGTGGTCAGGTACAGCCGCAGCAGCGTTCGGCGTCGGTGCGGCTCCCGCAGCTGCCCGTGCTGTGACCTGCTGGGTTGAAGTGCTGCAGTGCTGTAGGACAGAGGTTGAGTCGTGTGCGGTGGTGTTCATTGCTATTAAAATCATACTCGGCTTTGCAAGAGTGCTGTAAGACGCGAGCGCTGCTTATCGGGGTGAGATGCGGAGGTGCCGTGCCGTGGCTTGGCTGTGTGCCTGCGTGTTGAAATGAGCGTGCAGTGGCCTCTTAACGCTCCTCTCTCACTGTCCCTGCTTGTGAGGTTCATTCCCTGAGCTGTGGGAATGTGCAGTGCCTGAAAATCAGGTTCTGTGCTCTGGGACTGCTGGAGGTCACCTATACTCTGCTTTTTTTCTTAGCTAGGGAGCCAGCTTCTTCCCTAGCTGGGTTTTTTTTTCAGAGCAACATCACTGCTGCAGACAGATACACCCTAATCAGAATTAAAAGCAGAGCTGGTTAGTCATTGCAGGGAGAGGAGATTGAAGCTGTGGCAGGAGGTAACTGGGAACTTCACCCATTTTCTTGAATGTTTTAAAAGATACTAAACCAGCCCCTGCGCTTGGACTCGAGGGTATTCCATGGGACGGGCTGCAGCAGAGCAGACAGCAGCGAGTGTCAGACCAGAGTGCGTCCAGGGGTCTTCTGCTGCAGCTGCCCCTTCTTCTCCTTCACCTCCTGCACTTTGTTCTCCTCTTCACACTTGTTCCCAGTAGGGACTGTTTTCTTGGCTGGGGTGATGATGATTGGTATTTTAAATCTCATTTTAGAGCAGCACTTTTTATTGTGTTTAAGAGTTCATATGTCAATAAAGCTAAAGGTAGTAAATCAAGAAAATATAACTAAAATAATGCAATTCTGGACAGCACAGACCTCATTGCTGAGTATTGAGGGAAAAGCCTAGGATCTTTTATTATTTTTCCCGTGTGTCTCGATGCTCTGAAGCGCAGTGGGAGAAGCAGGAGTCCCTGAAGAGAGGTGGCCTGGTGGATTTACTGATGGCAGTATTTCCTTTGCTGCTTCATCTTCAAGGTGACATTTTAACACATCCATAACTTTTTTAGCCGAACATGCTCTTGGCAGTATTGAGATAAGCCCAATTGAAGAGGAGGAGGAGGAGGAAGAAAAAATGGTGGTGATGAGAGAACTAGAGCCGGTCCCGAAGGAGTCAGGTACCATCGCAGTGGCTTTGCGCACCCGGCATCCTCCTGATCCCGACTCTCCCTGCCATCTCACCGTCCCTCTGTACAACCTCCCCGGCGGCTGGCACCGCTTCCGTGGCGTGAATAACACCGGGGCACGGCAAGGGTTGTCCTTCTGAAAAGATAACACCATGTCTGGCTCACCAAAATGAACTGCCGTGCCGAAGAGGAGGGGAGATAACGAGATGGCGGTGGTGGTTTGGGCTCTTAGTGTGGATTTTCAGCAAGACGTAATGTCTAGGAGTTTGGCTGAAAAGTGTCATTTCAGTCTCTGAAAAATCAGGCTCTTTTTCGCCCCTCCACCTGGTACGTTTTTGGCCATGTGGATACTTCATTCTGTGCACGTTTTATACACACAGATGAGATGCAGTTACCTTTTCAGTGCAAGGGCAATGCTTATGAAGGAGTTACTTAAAATTACAATTTCTTTTTTAACGCCAGATTTTCTAGTGCCTTTGGCCAGCCGGGTGGACACTAGTAACCTGGTGTTGGCTGGGTTAAATTACACAGTGTGACCCTTCCTGCATAAACTGTGACTTTAGGAATATGAAACCATGTCAAAGAAATTATTTCAGGTCACTAGGCATATTTTTAGTGGAATGGCCGTAAAAGCCAGCGTCTGGACAACTAAATAGCTTATTGTGTCTGTAGGTACGCACTGTGAATTAATTGGGGCTTGCTCTGTTGCAAAGTATTGAAGATTTTGGAGGTGTCAGGCTTGTCAGGGGTCAGGAACTGTTTGGGAAATTGGGAATCGAAGGAAAGAGTAGGCAGTTGATTTTGTGTGTACCTGGTTCTTGTATGTAAGGCTGTGATCCTCTGGAAAGATGATTTTTTGGCAGCATGCTGTTCATTTCTGCGCTGTCACTGGTCTGGCGATGCCAGGTATCTGCTCGCAGCGGTGCCCGGGGCTGCAGCAGGAGATACCCGTCTCGGGCACACAGCCCCAGCCTGCTTTGAAACCCACCTGGAAGCTGCTGTGAAGCTTTATAGAGCGATGCTCCTTGATCATTTTTTTGCCTGAATTGCTGAAAAGACTGGGGAGATGGGCGAAAGCCTGTGTTGAGGAGATGCCAGTGAGTCAAGAACTCACCACAGCTCGGAGTGTTTCTATTTTAATGGTTGCACTGGGATGGCCTCCTGAGTCCGCTGCGTGTGAAGGACCCAGAAATCGATGGCACAGCGTCAGAAATAGATTCGCCTTTCTGGTGTGGCTTCTCTGCAGAGTGCAAGCTTGCTTTTTGTAAACCATCTGTTGTGGGGTTTTGTTTTATTATAACCATAAGGAAAATAATCTCAACTTTCCCATACTAAATGCACAAGCTGCTTTGCTCAACATCTTTATTTCTTTTCCCTTTTTTCCTTCCCTCCTGCCTTTCTTTTTAAATGACGGCACTGTAATTTGGAAAGGCTTTGCCTGGTGCTTTAGAAACGTTACCTGCGCTGAACCTTGTCCCTCTCTGTCTCTCCCCCACCCTCAGCAGTGGCCGTGATAACCCCCGAGAGGAGTCCCCGGCCCACCTCTGCCCCGGCCATCGCTCAGAGCCACACCAAAGGTAGGTCAGGGCAGAGTCTTTGGGAGCGGCTGCGCTCGTGCTGGGCTGGAGCATCGGCTTCGGAAGCCGCCCCAGAGCAGCAGCTCCATGCCCCTTCCCCTCCCGGGCAGCGAGGGGCTCACTGCTTGCCCAGGCATCAGGTGGGAGGGAGGTACGGGGGTCTGGGCCCCGGGGAAATCCCAGCCCTGACCCTCGGGGTGCAAGGAAGGAGGAGGTCCAGGGTGGCTGGGGTTTGATCGTTGCAGCCAAACTCAATGCAGCTTACTGGTAAAAGGTTAAAAAAGCTGGCAAGAATTGCACGGAGGTTCATGGTAATTTAATTTAGAGCTCGCCCGTTGCTGAGCTGTCTCTGCTGATTCCTGGTACGACAGCCGGCGCAATTCCGGTGAAACCAGTGATAGGGATCTGGTCCGCAGCCCAGTGTCTGAAGGCAAATGTTTTTTACGTTGATAGGCTTTCTCCGGGACAGCTGTTAATACTTTGCTGCAAACTGGAGTAAAACTTCAGTTGTGAATGGCACTGTTGAGACCTTGGGAGGTTTATTGTTGAAGTGAACTTTTTTAAAACATTATATGATCTTTATACAAATGTCTGAGACCTCTGCTGATGTTCATATATGGGTATTGTTCTCATAAGTGAAAGTAATGTGCCAAATTATCGTTCATATTACAGTGTCCTTAATATTCTGCAGATCTTATTCACTGAAACCTTCCAGTGTTGCAGCAGAGGAGTGTGCCATGAGATCCAGTTTTCACAGTACTCTGGATATTTAGCTGCTCTCAGCGTTACTGGAGCCACACTTTTACTGTAGCGTGTTGCACAGTGGGTCTTGTATGGCTTACTCCAGGGGAGCTCACTGTTAATTAAGGTTGGAAGATGGAGGTGAAGAAAGGACAGTTGCTTTAAACAATTTAGTGGCCTGTGTGACGTGTAACTTTTAAATGAAAATGCTGAAGAGATCTCCAGGATGGAATTCAGGATTTGGAGTCTGCATCGTGGTGCGCAGTTCCTGTAATGCTGTTCCTGCACAGCTGCTCGCCCTCCCTAGCATTAAACTGGGAACAAGTAAATTCTGTTCATCCCATCTCACTTATTACAGGATTTTTTTCCTAAATGCTTAAACACTGGATTTTTTTCTTTTTTTTTTCCCTCTAAAAGTAGATGTGGGAGGAAATTGTGGATTTGAAAGTGCCAAATTTACCCAGTTTCTCAAATGTGGCTGCATCACTTCTTTTAACACCGACCGATGCTTTCGCCTTCAGAATATTTGGCAATCCGGTTTCCCTAAAATACTTTCCTGAAAGCGTTAAGACACTCGGCTCTCTGCTTATGGACAGGAAAGAACTTAATTTACGGTGTTAAGTTTGATTTTATAGACAGGTCTCTTCTCACTGACTCTGGGAACATAATACCTGTGCATAGCAACTCATTTTCTGTTTCTGAGAAGGTCACACGTTAATTGGAGCATGTTGCTTTGGGTAAGGATTTCACTGGGAGATCCAGCTGCGAATGAAATTTGAAAACATTGCCCGGCAAAGCTAGTGCAAGTGGGAAGCCCGCCTGCGGAAGCACTAGAGAGCACTGGTTTCAAATGCAAATAATTCTCAAGCTGAAGGAATTATTGGGACTGTGCGGGTGACTAACAGGCTGTTGGAGAGCTGCGGTGTCGTTAACTCTCTTTCCGGAGGGCTGCATGTTGGTTTTTGCATGTTCACCCAGCATTTCCAAACCAACTTTATGCAGCTGTGTTTTGAAACTAAATGGTCTCTTGAAACAAGGCTACTAACAAGAAATGTTTTTACCAATTGATTTCTTAAATGTAGGTGAGGAAAACGCACACTGAGGTCACCGTACCCACCACGCATGGTGACCAGCCCCAGGTTTGTGCTCATAATTCAGTTAGGTTGCTCACATTTTTCTAAGGTGAAACAGTCAGGTTCAACATAGTTAAATGAACCAACTTTTTTTTTTTTTTTTTTATTGCTGCCCAACAGCAGCAGCCTGCAGAAAAAGAGGAAGAACTGATAAGAATGAGGAAGGTTAGCCATTTTACACTTTCACCAAACAAATTTACCATTTCATTCCTGCATCTGTAACCTGTTTAAAAAGACAGTGCTCCAGTTTCTTCGTGTGCTTTGGGTTGGGTTTTGGGGTTTTTTTAAACTGCAACTATTAAATATTTGATTACAAAGTGAACAGCTTTTTGTCCCATAGACAGTCTGATTGCTAAAATGATGCATGTTAAATGTTCGAGAGAAACACACTTGTTTGATTTCTATAGTTGATCTCTGCTTCTCTGTAACAAATTTAGTTAGAAACCAGAGAAAACTGTATACTGTGCATTCCAGGAAATGCAGAAAAAAAAAAGTATAATGCTTTTTTTTATATTGATTAAGTAATATGGGACATATCCAAGATGGGAAAGGTGGTTAAGACACAGTTACTATGCGCATTGAGACCTTGTAAAGGTTACACCAGGCAGTACAGCCTCGTGCACTGGGGTGGGCACGCGTCACCATCAGGAATATGAAGTTGCGGCTTCGTGCAAGGCTTCCACAGAAAACCGGTAAAGTGGCTCTGTGTGGCGAGCGAAGCAGAGGAGGGCAAAAGCCCCTGAGCCCCGGGAGCTGTCTCTTTAACGGACTCATTGCATTTCCCCATTCTCCCATTGCCCGGTGGTGGCCCCACGCCGGCGGCCCTGGCCCTGCGGCTGGGTCCCCACCCCACGCTGGCACAGCACTGCGCTCCCAACCTTGAGTTAACTTTTTTAATTTGCCAATTTGTCAATCCCGCAAGAACAACTTTTTAATTTTTTGTGCTTTTCTTTTTTTTTTTTTGTTTTGTTTCCCCCTTTTCTTTCATTTTCACAGAAGAGATCAAAGAGGCTAGATGGTGAAAACATTTATATCAGGCATAGCAATTTAATGTTGGAGGTTTGTATGAACTTGAAGCTTTTTTCAGTTGCGCTTGCCTAGACCTTCTGCATCTGCGCTGAACTTTTTTTCTTCCTCTTCTGCTGCTGCCTTTGTTTTTGCATGCTGTTGCATGAAAGACCTCTTTTTTTCGTTAAATATGCTTTTGCATGGTGACAGTAAACATGACGATGTGCAGGCATTCTTCCTTCTACCTCTTCTGGCTTTCATTCTCTCATACGTACCCAAAATATACGATTGGCAGAGCTGCGTGCTCAGGTCTGCTCTTGGACCCGCTGGGTGCTCACAGCGGCATGGATCAGGGTGGGGGGGACTCATTTAGAAGTTTCTTCTTGCTTGAAATAAATTACTTTCCTGGGGCAAAAGACAGTCTACGAAAATGCAAAAACCAGGATAAGCTGCAGGTGAAGTTGTCACTTCCCTGGCATTCAGGCCACCGCCATGTCCACATTGCTTCAGACAGGAGCGAGTCCTCCTTTCAGGCGGTGCTGCCGGCGTTGCAGCGATGCTTGTGGCCTTGCAGTCTTTCTCCCAACACTCGCTTACCTACCAGCATCTTTGATGCTCCCCCGGGCCTCATCCTGTATCGGCGCCAGGTCCCCTTGGGGCTGACGTGGGGGCTCGGTGGTCACGGGTGGCTCGTGAGAAGGTGAGAAGCCGTTTCATCCCTGTACGTACAGCTGTTCCCTTCGGCTTTGGGAGCCCTTCACACTCGGTTTTGCCCAAGCACAGTCTCAGAACAGACCATGCCAATCATATATTTTACTTTCTTTAATACACTGTGTTATGGAGGACGTTTTGTGGCTTCTGATACTCTGTGTTATGCATTTCTACTCAAAATTGCAGCACCAGCAGCTGGTAGGGTTTCCCTGTTGGTATCTCTTGCAAGTGAAGTGTACTAACTGCCGCCTTCTGATCTCAATTTTAAAAGTTTTTCAGCGTTTGGGTGGGTGATTTTTGTGGGTTTTTTGTTTTCTTTTTTTTTTCCCTGACTGCTACAGCTTAAGCTTTTGGCCATGAGCGAAGGGTCTGCGGCACGACGGGCAGGGTTCGGCCAGCGCCGCAGCACTGCGAAGACTGTGCCTGTTGCATTCTTTCACCCAGCTCAAGCTCCATCTCCCCAGCCCCAAGCAGAGCTTTCTCATTGCTTCTAAACCCCTTTTTCCCGTTAGTGCAGTACTTGGCTCTGGCACCCAGCCCCTTCCCTCTCCGCTGCCCTCCCCACCGGTTCTGTTGCAGGTGCTCCAGCCCTCCCTTAGAAAAGGGCTGACCCCAGCAGCTCACCCCCTTTATTCCTTTTTCTTTTGTAACTCCAAGCATTTGGCAGATCAGATGTTTTTCCAGCAGACCTCTTCCTTCCGAAGCTGCCGCTTGATTTTATTGAAAGCTGTTGAACGCTCCCTGCTCTATAACCCACGCTCCGTGTTCTTACAAAAAGGGCAAAACAGGAGGAAAAGCCTTAACGCTTAGCAAGCTTGTTCCTCGAGATGCTTTCAGGACCCATTGTGGCTCCACGTAGCTCCTGGTGGCTTCAGCTTCTCTGCAAACCCTCCCAGGACCAGCTCTTGCGTGTTGGTGGGTAGCCAAGGTGGTCTTTCTCCCTTCTCTAAACCAGGAGCAGCTGTAGGGCTCCTGGACCCGGGCAGGGCTTTACCCTGGAGTCCTCCGCAGACTTTTTTGTGCTTTTTTGGTTTTTCCCCTAACTAGCAGGCACTTGCCTTGTGCTTTCATCCAGGATGGCTGCCAAAACTGTTTTTTTTCTCCCCAGAAGCGTGCCAAAAAGAGCAAATGTTGCTAATGAGGCATTTGGGGCTGTAGCCCTGCGGAGGGAGGGCGGGATGTCCTGGGTAAGCTGCAGGGATGCAGGTACTGGGGGGGGACCCTGCTTGAGGGGTGCATTTGCTCTCCCATCTTCTAAAATCAATGGGCTGAGTACCAACTAATGCTTTTACTGACCTTAATTCCCTCCTTCTGAGGAGTGAGGCTGGCTGCCTTTTGGCACTCTCCAGACAAGTTGTTGTTTGGCTGAAGCCTCTCATGCAAAAGCTTTGTTTGCAGCAAGCTCTCTTTTGCTTGCAAGGAAAAGCTATTTTTAAACAAGTCGAAGAGAGCTGACTTGCCTTGAAGTCTGTGTATTTATGCCGTAAACTGGCATCACAGAGTAGAAATCTGGCTTTTTCCAGATGAATTTTAGCAGGAGTTTGTTGATTGATCCGGCCCAAAGTAAATTCTCCGTTTGATTTTAGAGGGCTGTCATCTCAGCTTCGTTTCAGAAGTGTAAAACCTCCTGTGGTAGCTCCTGGAGGGATGAGATGAGAGGGGGGGAAAAAAGGTAATGGGGCTGTTCTGAGACCAAAGATAACTCCTGGTAGGATGAAACAGAAATAGGTATGACGAGAATAAATAAAATTGGGAAAATATTTTCTTAAACTTTAACTGCATTTATACCTGTGAATATTCAGGCTAGCAGCAGGAAAAGAAAGTAAACCCATTCAATGTAAAGGCATTAAATTAAATAACCCAAACAAACATTGCAATTTTAAAAAATCTTGTGCAGGGGAGACCCGTGAGATGACACCTGGCACGTCCCGCTGCGGGAGGAGACCCTGCTCCGCGCCGGTGGTAGTTTGTCCCAGTGAATACAACAGGAGGGAGGAGAGAGGACGTTGCCTTTGTGTGTTTGCAGTGTGAGCACAGTGGATGGAAGTCGGCCACAACTCTGCTGAGCGCAGCTTTGCTATGCGGCAGCCTAGGCAATCGCAGGTCTCTGCTCCGTGTCTCTTCATTTATCCTGTCCTTTTACTAATAGGATCTAGATAAGACCCAAGAAGAAATAAAGAAGCATCACGCCAACATCAGTGAGTTGAAGAAGAACTTTATGGAGTCCGTCCCGGAGCCTCGGCCGAGTGAATGGGACAAACGTTTGTCCACTCACTCCCCGTTCCGAACCCTCAACGTCAACGGGCAGATCCCCACGGGAGCGGACGGAGTGAGTACCTCGGCGGCGTGTGGGTGTTAGTGCACGGCACGGAATTGTGCAGCTTCCAGGGGCCAGCTTTGCAACCTAGGATTGAGCCTCAGCTCCTCTTAGTTCTCGGTTGTATTGAATTTTAATAGTTAATATTGACTTTTAACATGTGTCATGGTCCCTGAGAGAATCAATGTTTTAGTCATAGTATAATAAAAATGTGGGGGGTTTGGGGGGGGGTTTTTTTGGTAGAAAAGAGTGTAGGAATCTTCCACCTGGTTTTGATGCTGTTTTCCCTAGCACTGCTTTCATCTGTGCTGCTCGAGTATCCTGCACACGGCTGGTTGGGGGACTGGCTTGTTCCTGGTGCCAGGGAATAGCTCTCCCCAGAACACAGGGAAAAAAAACCCAAACACCTAAATTGAAGGGAATTACTTCAGAGATAATATTGCAGGCGCC